GGATGGGTGTTGAGCCACAGAGGACCCTGGATCAAACCTGTTAAAGAACTGGTTCAACTCGTTGGCCATCTCCAGGTTCCCCTCTGTTGCACCCCCAGCCTGTTTGAAGCCAGAGATCTCTCTCATGCTGCTCCATACGTCCCTCACCCTATTCCTTTGCAGCTTGTCCTCTTCCTTCCTAATGTAGACGTCCTTGCTCTCTCTTAACGTCTGCTTTAGCTCCCTCTGTACACGCTTGACCGTTTCCTTATCCCCCCTCCTAAAGGCTCTCTTCTTGTCATTCAGAAGAGCCTTCAGGTCGCTGGTGATCCAGGGTTTGTTATTGTTTGTTATCCAGGCAGTGTACGTCTTTGGTGGGGATGGTGTTGTCTATGCAGAAGTTAATTTAGTCAGTGACACAGTCCACCATGCTGTCTATGTCATCCCCATGTGGTTCGCACAGCACATCCCAGTCGGTGGCTTCCAAAGCACCACGTAGATCCTCCATATCCTCCTGAGACCATCTCCTCACAGTCCTCATGGTCGCAGGTTGGCGCTGGACAATAGACGTGTATAGTGGTGATTGATATAAAGAATCAGATAAAAGATAAGAGCTACATCATCACACGACTGGTAGTGTCTCAATAAGTAGATTGTTTTTTTTCCATTTTTTTTAACTTTTTTAATTTGTTTATTCCTAAATTTAATAAATATATTGATTTTCTATTTCAAAGACAAATAATCCAAAATTCAACATATACAGTAAAAGAAATGAACTCATTTAATCCACTGTGACGTACGGTATAACACATTCCTGTATGAAGCTGATGATTTGCCAGCAGCACATCAAGTAGAAAATTGAAAAATTACTTCACTAACTCAAGGGAGAACCTTTAACAGGCCCATAATGTTGTATCCTTTAATACACCTGACGATTTGGATAACATTTGCCTTTGGAATTCAGTTGTTTTCTCTCTCTCTCTGACTCCGCACAGGTTCATGCTGTACTTCCATTTATCTGTAGCATTTAGAGATGCAGGACAATTTGAATTGCTTAAAGTTCTTTCTTTACTCAACCAGTGAAGTAATTTCACGCTTCTCAAGTTAATCCATTGTGTATTTGGGTTGTTGGCACATCATGCTCTGCCCTTTACACAGGAGGGTGCTGTATGTCAGGGATGGATGAATTGGGTGATGCCGAGTAGCAGTCTGAGGTAGTTAGGCCTCTGAAACGCCTTGTTTGTAAATACTGTACATAGAGTAACTTGTGTGTTATATGTTTGTTTTGTGTGTAGTCTAGTTTGTGTCTTGTGTCATTGTAATAAATATTTGTTTAACCAAGTGTGCCTGAATTATTACTCCTCAACAAGATGGGGTTTATGAATACTTGTTTTATTTATTGACTATACCGTTCGGTCAACTCCTGATTTTCACCAGTTTCGTAACCATATATTTTCTAAAAAAATGGAAAAAACCACAGGAGGGTGTCTAGACCTTATAGGATGATCCAGGACAATAGGCAATAGCCTATTACCTATTATCTATATAATGAATATAGATAAGTTCAACATAGGGGACACTTTTAACCTTAAATGTAAAACAAGTACAGGAGATCACAATAAACAAATTAAGGAAAATTCGTTTAGGACAAAGGAAACACTTTACTCAGGGTAGTGGATAACCTGCGGACACCCCTGGCTGTGTTGCAATAAGCAGCTTCATGACTGTAACACATAAACTGAATTTCTTTAAAACTTTTAATACCAAAGATTGCAAAACACTTCACATATAAGAAGGTGCACAATTAATCCACTCCTGAAGTACAGAACCCTGAAGTGTGATGGGCATATCAAGATGATAGCAGGGGAAGACTACTCAAGAGTAGTAGCCCCAGGACACAGTAAACCAAGTAAGCAAGTGAGAAATGACTTTACTGGTTGAAGAGAGGAAGAACTTTAAGCAGGCCAGATCATTCTGCAGAAATTCATGCTGTACTGCATGTTGTGACACCATGGGGTTGATGGTGGAGGATGTGTTCCAAGTGGGTTCACAGGAATTGACATGCCCCTACAGCCTGTTGGGGAACTTTCGGCACTATTTTTCCCCTATTAAACATTATCTGCTCCGAACTTAGTGTTTTATATGCTCCTTCATCATGGTACCTAAAACAAGGAGCATAATATTTGATTTGTTTTTTCTCATTCCATCAGAGCTATTTTACTTATTAACTATCTCTGAGCTCTCGGTTTGCAGATTCTCAGGCTCTACGTCCTGTACAAATAATATGTCATCCTACATGTCATCATGGATCTCACACCTCTGTCCTTCACCTGTCTGACCTCCACTGTGTTACTCTTTGAGGATGACATTGCCAGCAGCCATATCACCCTTCAACTCACAACTGGCAGCCCACTGAAACAAAGCAGGTGTGAGACTGGTCAGTACCTGGATGGGAGACTTCTGGGAAAGCTAAGGCTGCTGCCGGAAGAGTTGTTAGTGGGGCCAGCAGGGGGTGCTCACCCTGTGGTCTGTGTGGGTCCTAAAGGGGACACTATACTGTAAAAAGGTGCTGTCCTTCATATGAGACGTAAAACTGAGGTTCTGACTCTCTGTGGTCATTAAAAATCCCAATGTGTTTATTGAAAAGAGTGGGGGTGTAAACCTGGCATCCTGGCCAACGCTTTTCCCATTGGCCCTTACCAATCATGGCATCCTAATAATCCCCATCTCTGAATTGGCTTCATCAGTCTGTTCTCCTCCCCAATAATAACTGGTGTGTGGTGAGCATTCTGGAGCACTATGGCTGCCATTGCATCATCCAGGTGGGGCTGCACACTAGTGGTGGTGGAGGGGATCCCCATTACCTGTGAAGCACTTTAAGTGGAGTGTCCAGAAAAGTTCTATATACGTGTAAGCAATTATTATTAATTAAGATGCCTTTACTGCTAATGTCGCTTGCCCTAAGTCAAGGACTCTCTCATTCTCCTCCTTTTCAGGAAGTAGCAGTGGAATCTCCCTCAACTCGGGACCTTCATTACTTTCCTGCTGGGACGGCGCAAGCTGATACTCTTTGGGAGCCTTCTCTTAATGGCTTTTTACTAGGAAACTCCCTGCTCCTTAATTTCCTGCTTCTGTCTAGGAGTTTCCCTACTCATAGACACCACACTCAGAGTCCAATCCCATGCTTGGAACTCTGACACCTGATGCCCACCACCCTCGATGTAACACTCACAATTTCACCATGGCTACAGGCTCACTCACTTTGTACCAGTCAGGCCTTGGATGTCTCTCCACTCAACACACTCAACACACAACTCAGAGACTCCAGTGCCTCAACCTCATGCCCAGACTCAAAACACTCACATGTCGGATCCTCACAACGTGTTATTCTTGAGTCCCAGACTGTGCACTTGCAGCTGCCAGCACACCACTCTCTCATGCCCAGCCACCACTGCCTTCTATCACAACTCATACTTTGCCAGAAGCCTTATTCCCATGTCTTCTTCCCATTCTCTCAGGTCTAATTCTGCCATTTAGAGTAACGGCTCACATAACTTACACATACTGTAGTAAGTCAGAGCTTCCTGCTCATCTCTCTCTCATGCCTGTCCTCACTGTCTTTATGCACATCTTATAACTCACACTTTTAAGACTCTCTTATCACACAAAACCTCAGGCTCTACTGTTTTCACTGCATGCCTACAGTCAGAGGTCAGTAGCCACATTTTTTGTAGCACTTTTTGCCCCTTGATACCTCAGGTAAAGGTTTATTCCATGCTTTAAGGGAAAGAAAAGTGACTCAATGTTTTGGCTGTGGAGACTTCTTCAGGTGTCAAGTAAGTCTAACACAGATAACGTAAGATAATGTATAGTTTCCATCATTACAAAGATTCCTACAGTATGTTATTAAATAATCTATGAGATATGGTATTACATCACCAACACGCACATGATTCAATCAATCAATCAAGGTTTATTTATCAATTCACAAACAGTACAGCATACAGTGGTGTTGTTGGTAATTAAATGCTTCGTCCTTGAGCGCATTAAGAAGGATAGAAAAGTAGAAGAACAGGAATTTATAGGGTCGGCCCGTCAGAAAGTCCAGGATCCAATTGCAGAGAGGGGAACTTGGTCCTAGGTCTTGGAGTTTAGTGATAAGCCTTGAGGGTACGATGGTGTTGAATGCTGAGCTGTAATCAACAAACAACATTGTCACATACATTTCTTTCTTGTCTAAGCATGAGAGGCTGGTGTGTAGAGCAGTGACGATGGCATCCTCAGTTGATCTGTTCTGTCTGTATGCAGATTTCAGAGGGTCTGAGGTTTCAGGCAGTAAGAAGGTGATGTGTGCTTTGATCAGCCACTTGAGGAATGATGGATGTGAGTGCAATGGGGCTGTAGTCATTTAGGCAGTTGAGTCCTGTTTTCTTGTTCCCCCTGGTTTACTGGGATTTCCTTAGCTGGTTCCATGTTATGAACTTCAAACTGTGCATAAAATGAGTTTAGCACATCGGGGGGGAAAGCGATGTGTGTCATGTTGCTGTTTCACTTTGTAATCTGTGATGGTGTGGATTCCGTTCCACATATTCCGAGTGTCCCGGTTGCTGTGATTCAAGTTTTAGCCTGAGATCGGATCTGGAAGTACGTGTCCTTGTCTCCAGAGTTGAAGGCGGATGTTCGAGCTCTGAGTTTATCTCGTACTTCGCCATTTACCCAAAGGTTTTGATTTGGGTATGTGCGAACAGTAATCCTGGGGACAACATCTTCTGTGCATTTGCTGATATACTGTCGCTAGTAGCATATTCCAGGTTAATGTCGTTCCCAGCAGCTTTGCAAAAAATCCACCAGTCAGTGGTGGCAAAGCAGTGACTTAGAAAAGAGCCCGATTCCTCTGACCAGCGCTGAATTGTCCTTTTTAGCAGGCTTCTCCTGCTTGAGTTTCTACCTATAGGCAGGGAGTAGCAGGATGGAGTTGTGATCGGATTTGCCGAAAGGAGGTCGGGGGTCGTGCTTTGTATCCATCCTGGAAGGGAGTGTAAACATTGTCCAACGTGTTTGTTCTGCGTGATGGACAATTTATATGCTGATGCAGGTTTGACATGATTTTCTTCAGGTTCGCGCCATTGAAGTCCCCCACTGTGATAAATGCGCCCTTGGGGGGCAAACCTCTGGGATGCTTAGGATACACTTTGCTATAATGTTTAGCAAGGTATTGTAGGTGTTTTGTGCATTTACTGGGACAATTATTAATTGTATCACTAAGTCACAAAATGATTCTTCGATGGATATTAGAAAACCAACTTTGCGGAACAACTCAGCAAAGCACACACACGGATACTAATACACGAGAATACATTTATTAATACATAAAATGTGCATATAAACATAACAGATCTTGTAGTGAGGGTTAGCAGAATACAAAAGGTATATACTGTATTTAATCACAAAGAGACACATACATTCAGTATACCATTCATTTATACCATTTCGTTAATGAGCTTTGATTACAACTTCTACATTAGATACTCAAAAGTAAGTACATCACTCATACGGGACATCAACTGGGGTTGAGGTAGCAATTGATTTCTCGAGCTGTAATGCAGAATGTTGAATACTCATCCAATTTATGTGGATTCAAATCTCCTGCGGATACAAAGGAACAGCGACAGGCTGTTGCTGCGTCCAATCTGCGTCCTCTGGCCTGGTGCCAGGCAGTCCTGGTTCGCGTGAGGTGTGGGAGAAGGAAGGAGATACTCCTGCTGCAGCGCACTAGCAGTGACTCTCTGAAGACTGGCTAGTTAGTCCTGGCTGCACTAGCAGAGATTGTGCACATGAAAAGTGACTGCGGGTCCAAGCAAGTCACACTCTTTTGATGGGAAGAAGACTGGTTCGTTCCCGATGTAGCGCTAGTCCTGAATCCTGAGATTCAGCTGTCGACAATTCCGACCGTAGTTCACTCGTTGATCAGGCGAGTGTTCGCAGTGGAGTACCGGCGGTTCACGAGGCTTGCTGCTGGGCTAACCTCAGGCGGATCCTTTGATTCGAGTGGGTGACCCCCGGTCTCGACTCTTAGAACAAATTAAAATCCTGGCACTCGGACACACTGGGCCGTCACGTGATTGTCCGAGATGAGTCTAAGAATGTCCTGGAGGGGCACCTTCTGGGCCCTATGCTGCCTGTTTTATCTGGAGGAACTACAGTCATTTATTTGTTGAAAGTCCTGCGGGCATTTGAGACCCATATGGGGTTACCCTGCCCTGCCAGTTCCTGATTGGCTGATCAAGGTGGAGGATAAGTAACAATGTTCTCCGACATTAGGGATGTAAACAACCTGGGACGAGTCTCTCCTACGGAATCTCCCAGACAGTAAGGCACCAGAGATGACAATTCATCAGGGTGGCTGGAGAATCTCAGCCTTAGGAGTTGTTCCTTATCAGGAAACTCTATCAGCTAGAAAAACACCTTAAATCTGAACCTAATGGAATGGCCTCTCTGTGTACAGCACCACTGAGATGAGGGAGAGAGGGACTGGCAAGGGAGCAGCAAACTTAATTCCTGTATTATAAATAAGCCTTGCCACTACTATTTTTTTTTAAAAAAAAGAGCCAATGGCAAATTTGGCCAGGACACCAGGGTTACACCCTACTCTTTTCAAGAAACACCCTGGGATTTTTAATGACCACAGAGGATCAGGACCTCACTTTTACATCTCATCTGAAAGACGGTGCTCGTTTACAGTATAGTGTCCCCGTCACTATACTGGGGCATTAGGACCCACATGGACCGCAGGGTGAGCGCCCCCTGCTGGCCCCACTAACACCTCTTCCAGCAGCAACCTAGTTTTTCCCAGGAGGTCTCTCAGCCAGGTACTGACCAGGCTCACACCTGCTGAGCTTCAGTGGGCTGCCAGTTGAGAGACCCAGGCCCACTTTAATAGGGCTGTTGTTGAAGTTAAGAGTTCATTTTAATGGTTCATTTTAACCCCAGACAGGGAATGTGACATTATTGTTGAATGTGCTGTACTACATAACATTGCCACCCTGAGGTCCTCCCCTCAACCTGAACCCTGTATCCAAAAAGGTAGGAGAGCTGTGACAGACCATCAGGAAAGAGCACATTATAGTTAAATGGTGACCTAATTTTTAGGATTGTTCTTCCTATTATAAGTATGTCACATTTTACCTGGCTTAAGACTTTCTGCAACTTGGGGGAAAAAGCTTCACCCATATTATTTGATACACAACACAAAGTTGGGGAAAAACACAATGACCCAATAATGGAGGAATGCATTCTTTATTGTGTTGATGATTATGTTTCCTTCTCCAGTCTCCCTTTGCCCACACCTCCTCTTTGGATGATATTCTTGTATTTTGTCTTGACCATTGTGATCCAGATCTTCCCATTGTGATCCAGCTAATGTATACATTACTGGATAAAAATAATATTATTCAACTACACAATGGCTTTAACTGGAGCTCCACTTCAGGGCCATAATAATGTAAGTTAAGTAATGCAATACGTGTGTGCTCATTCCATTTTTATAGTTTTGTCTAATTTGAGATATTTTACTGCATTTCATAAATACCTTTTGCTCTCAATTTATTAGTGATTCTTTGCCAGGCGTCTGCAGCAGTTATGGGCAACAGATTTTACCCCCTCATAGTTTTCCATAAGGAGCCATAATTCATATTCTCCGAATAAAGACATAATACATTCTTTGGTGTTTGCCTTGGTTTTGTTGGTGCAAAGGAGTCAAGGCTTGACACTCCTGCCTCCTGAGAGTGGCACATTTACTCTGATTGATAAACCCTGTGTGGCTTTAAACTGACAACTGAAACCCGAGTTTGCCGTTGTGGCGCTGGAGCAAACCTGAAGTCAGTAATCTGGTTAATTCAATCTGGCTATCTAGTGAAAATCTTGAACAAGTTAAACCTGTTTCATGAACCAGCCACCTGATCTCTTAGAGTCCATAGCTGTGTATTGTTAGACCACCAGCCTCCTTCAGCTGTGGTCTCATAACAACGCATGTTTCTCTCCAGAGTGATCTACATTCCTGACAATCACACCCTCTATTATGTTGCAATACATTGTGTTTATTTTGTTCTTAAGTTTGACATTTTATATACTTTTAACTAAATACTGCATAGGTTTAACTCATTGTGTTAATATTCCCTCTTATATTTAATAAATATTCCCTCTTGTATTTGATAAGAGTGTTTGTCAGAAATTCATGATCAGAAAGCAAACTCTCCTGATGAGAGCTGCTCCTATCCTGGAAGTACAGAGTGAAGCAATTAAGTACAAATAAAATTGGGAGAATCTCTACAGTACACTTGAACTATAAATACAAATGTAACTAATCAATATTTTTTACTATTTTTTAATTAAGTTAATACATTGTATGCAATCAAAAACAGAATACATTCCATAACAGTATACAGTAGATAAGAAAGCATCAAGTCATATCATCATACTGGTATAAATTCTGATTTTTTTAGCAGAAATTCATTCATATAAGAAAGCCAAATATCCTGGTGAGAGCTGTTCCTATCATGGGATTGAAGGTGGATTGAGAGCACAAAAATTCTGCATCTAATGAATGTTACAATGAATGTCAAAACTGGTACAATTTCTGAAAAGAAATCTAATCAAGAAAAATATAGATCCTAAAATGATACATTCATGCACCTTACAGTTCTAATGGAAAAGTACTGAGAGTAGCAGTACATACCTACGAGTGCTCAGGAAATACGTTCAGCCTAGATGATGCTGTATTAAAAATCTGAAGTGTTAAAATTAGATTCACAGACTTTTGAAACCATGGGTAAATCAGAGCATAAATTATAGGATTGAGAGAAGAATTTAAATATACTAACCAATTTAGAAAATTAACATCTACTGAAGAAGGAGATAAAAAATTATCAGCATTAACAAAACTTTTTACAAAATATTTACATAAATACAATACAAAAAAAACAATTACAGTTCCTACTGTTCTTGCAGCTTTTCTTTGAGATTTGGTAGAAAGTTCAGAATTATTTTTTTTAGAAACTGTTTGTCTCTTAACCAAATCACCAATTTTAGCATGTCTTCTAGCCACAACAAAGATTTTTCCATATAATAATAATATCACAGAGCATGGCAGAATAAATACAGCAATTAAATCAGCTATACTCCAGGCTTCACTGATCCCAAACTTACATTCTCCAAGACATATATTTGTTTTTCCTGTACTGCTAATATTTCCATTAAAATAAATGAGTGCCAAATTGTATAGGACTGCAAACAGCCACACAAACACTATAAACAATCTTGTTGCTTTTACTGTTACTCTGGTGGAATAAAGTAAAGGGTCACACACAGCCAAATACCGGTCTATAGCTATACAAGCGACATTATAAAATGAAACAGAAAATATGATGTAACCAATTGTGTTGTAAAATATGCAGTTAATTGTATCAAAATACCAACAGGTCTCTATTAAAAGAATTAAGCAAAAGGGCAACACAGTCAGTCCAGTTAGAAAGTCTGCCACAGCCAGAGAGAGCAGGAGGAGGTTAGTTGGTGTGTGGAGCTGCTTGAAGTGGGAGATAGAAATGATCACCACCAGGTTTCCACACACTGCCAGTATCACGACTGCTGCTGCAGAAATGTACATCACCACATAGGTGACTGTCGAGCGCACTTCTTTAATGCAGGATGAGTTGTCAGCCTGAAAGCAATACTGCACTGCTTGAAATTGTGTTACTTCCATGAAATTGTAAATGAATTAAAAATAAGAATAACAAGCTTATCAATATTTAAGCACCTTAAAGGAAACTCATAAATATTGTATACAGCAAAAATAGATGCCATGTATACTGATTAGAATAACATGAATGTCTTTGTCTTCCACTCAGTGTCTATCCTTTGAAGTTTGTATGACATTTATGTCCATAGCTGTTGCCCCCTCCTGCTGCTAATAAACCTTGAAGACTCCTCCGTGTTTCCTTAATGACACCTGTTATCCTGGGGTTATGTGAGGAGCCTAGAGAACAGCCACATCCTCAGAGTAAACTAGGAGTAAACAGAAAAAGACAAAAACAAGGATGTCATGGTAGTGGAATGGTTAGCATTGGAGCTTTGCAGGACTGGAGCTCCTGATTCACTTTTGGACCGGGGGTGTGGAGTCTGTGTGGAGTTTGTATGTTCTCCCCATGTTAACTAGGTTTTTGCCACATGCTCCTGTTTCCTTCCATAGTCCAAAGACATGCTGGTAGATAAATCGGCACTGGTGTGAATGTGCTGGTGTCTTGTGATGGATGTTGTAATGTCCAGGGCACTTCCTGTCTTTTACCCATCCATTTTCTACCTGCTTAACCTAATACAGGGTCCGAGGGACATCTTAGCCAAGCCAGCAAGCACTGGGGGCAAGTCATTACACACCCTGGACTCACACCAGGGCCAATGTTCCCAGGAGCCAAATAACCTACAGTATTTTGTCTGTGGAAGGAAACTAGAGCAACTGGAGGAAACCCACAAACACAGTGAGGACATACTGTACATACTCCACAAATATAACATCCCAGGTCTAGAATTTAACTCAGGAACCCCAGTGCCACAAGGTAGCATGGTCAACCGTACAACCCTGAATTAATTTTATTTTTACCCTTTTTAGCCCTTTTTGTTCCTGGTTTTCTGTTCCTTTAGGCATGTGGCTGTGCTGTCCAGAGCCTGCAAGCTATTGAGTTCGGAAGAGAGGGCGGGACCCCGCTCTCTGCCTGGACTCTGCAGATGATTCAGTCTCCGGTGAAGTCCCCTGACAGCATACACTGTCCTCATCTCAGCGGGAGACCTCCAAAGAGTCCAGCTTCTGAATGGTGTGCCTCTTCGATTACCAGCTCATCTCTTATTTTGGCCTAAGAAGGCATTTTTTTAGCGTTCAATCCTTAGAAGCAGTCTGGGGTTTTCTGGGTGATTAGGATGTTAGGATTCAGAAACGCCTTGTTTTTTACATGCTGTAAATATAGTAACTTGTGTGTTGTATGTTTTGTTAAAATAAGATCAGATCACTTTATTTGCCATATACAATTTCTTGTATTAGGAATTTTCTTTTTCCCGTATCCCAACTTGCTCTCCATGAGACACACAGACAGGGAGAGAAGCTGGGGGTCAGAGCGCAGGGTCAGCCATTTATATTGCACCCCTGGAGCAGCTGGGGTTAAGGGCCTTGCTCAAGGGCCCAACGGAGTAGGATTCCTCTGCCGGTCGCAGGATACAAACCAGCAACATTCCAGCCACAGGCACAGATCCTTATCCACAGAGTTATGTGTAGCATAGTGTTTGTCTTGTCAATATGAATTAACATTTGTTTAAACAAGTGTGTCTGGATTATCACTATTTTCACCAAAGCTATGCCAAAAAATAAAGAATTCATATGCCTTTAATTATACTAACCACTTGGGTATATTCTGAGAAATCACTTACAAGTTGGAAGATCTGAATATTTATTTTACTTATTGACTAAACCACTCAGTCAGTTCCTGAAATTCACCATTTCATAATCCTGCATTTCTAACAGTCACAAATGCAACCATAAGGTACTGTACAATCTAGTTGTGAGTGTATTATTTTCACATAAAAAGCTTTACCTAGCATTTCATAATAGTTCATAGGTGTTGTTAATATTATTTTTTTAAACTGAAGAAGTCACCAAAGGTGTTTCCCATTGTAACATTTTTAAATAAACAGACAGTTCAAAGGACTTGAAAGATTTGATCCACCTTTTGAGCCAGGTATTTAAAAATTTTAGAAAGAGCAACTCCCTGCATTAAAAGACCAATACTGTATTATTTTATGCAGGGCAAATACAGAAACATTGAAAAGTACAAGAAAATTGGGGATTATACAGTATGATTTGTTACAGTACTATGTACTAAATTGAGCTTAGTAGTTAATATCTGCAAAACAAAATGAGAAACACTTCCATATCACACATACAGACTTCAGTAGTATACAGACTTCAGTAGTATTTGAAAATATTTTTATCTGTTAACTGTAGCGGCCAGGCTTATTAAAGTACAGGAATTAAGTTTGCTGCTCCCTCGCCAGTCCATCTCTCTCTCATCTCAAGTGGTACTAGATACAGAGAGGCCATTCCATTTGGTTCACATTTAAGGTGTTTTTCTAGCTGATAGTGTGTCCTGATAAGAAACAACTCACAAAGCTGAGACACATCAACTACCCTAACAAATGGTTATCTCTGGAGCCTTAAAGTCTGGGATTCCAAGGGAGAGTCTTATTCAAAGTTGGTTTACAAATCTAAGGTCAGAGGGCATGGTTACTCATCATCTGCCAATAGGAACTGGTAGGGCAGGTTAACCCCACGTGGGTGTTGAATGCCCATGAAACGTTCGACCAATGAACAACCGGTAGGTCCTCCAGGTAAAACAAGCAGTGCAGAGCCCCTCAGGGCACCTGCTGGACATTTCTCAGACAGAGCTCCTCCTGAACATCCTCAGACTCAGCTCTGAACCACTACATAACGGCCAGTGTGTCCGAGTGCAGGACTTTCCTTTTTTCCAAGAGTCGAGGACGGAGGTTGCCGGAGCGTATTCAAAGGATCCACCCGAGGTTAGCATCAGCAGCAAGCCTCGTGAACAGGTCTGAACTGTGGACAGCTGAATAAGTATTCAGAACTTGCGCTTCATCAGGAACTAACCTGTCTTTTTATTGACCTGCTGGGACCCGCAGTCACTTTTTTCCTGATCACAACTTTCCTAGTTAAAGCCAACACTAACTAGCAAGTCTTCGCGGGAACTTCTCTCAAGCCGCACAGCACAGCTTGGCACCGAGCCAGAGAGCGCGGATTGGACAGCAACAAGCCCGCAACTGTTTCTTTGTGCCCGCAGGAGATCTGAATCCCCAGAGATTGGATGAGTATTCAACTTCACTGCATTACAGCTCGAGAATTCAATTGTTATCCCAACTAGTTGATATCAATTTAATTCCTAAGAGTTATGTACTCGTTTCGAGTATCTAATGTAGAAATTTTAACCAAGTTCAATTACGAAACGGTCTAAATGAATGATATACTGAACATATGTCCCTCTTGGTATTTGTAACTCTTTGTGATTGAATATATACCTCTTGTATTCTGCTAACCCTCACAATAAGATCTGTTATGTTTATATGCACATTTTATGTATAGATAAATGTATTACTACCCGTGTGTGTGCGTTGTTTGAGTTATCCCGCAAGGTTGGATTCTAATACCATCAGTCACAATCATTTTGTGACTTGCTGATACAATTAATAGTTGTCCCAGTTAAGCACAAAATCTATATTTACGTATATTTACTGGTGCCTCGTGAGAGAATGCCTACATAACTAAAGAAATGTTGAAGAGAATATCTTCCGTATTGTATTTGAATTGGAACATTTTTAAAATAATACATCCACCTATACATGTTCTAACCACTTTATCCAGTACAGGGTCATGGGAGAGTGGGAGCAACATGAGCAAAGGCAGGGTACACCCTGTACGGAATGCAAGTCCTTCACAGCGCACACAGACATAAACGCACTCAAATCAAGGCCAATTTACCTAGAAGCTAGTGTTGCGTCCTACGCTGTCCTGGTCCTAGTTTCCCTGTTCTTTGCTTGTCCTTCCGGTGTGTCTTTGTCTGGGGCTATATATTTCGGGGTCACCCTTTCCTCCTTGCTCAGCATTCTGATGTCTTGAGACCCACCTAGCACCAGGTCGTCTTCTCCACCACCTGAGGGCATAGGTTTCTACCCGACATCATCTGACCATCTGAGCCCGGGCTAACCCCCATTTTGCCACTACGCATAGGGTCTTTAGTGCTCTCCTGCCATTCCATGGCATGCCTTTCCAACATCCGTGACAGAATCCTAAACCTTACTTTTGTTTTCCCGCATCGCTTTTTTTCAGTTCTCCTATTCTAATCGCGGGATGCCACCTCCCGACATCCGTGCCTGTGAGCGGGTCAGTCAGTGGTATGTCTTTCCGACATCTGCGTACGAATACCTGGCTTTCCTCGGGATGTCACTCCTGGCATCCGTGATAGAATGTTGAACATGTTTTTTTTGTTGTTACTTTGTTTTTTTCTCTTGGTGTTTTGGTTTCTCACTTCCTGGTTTCTGTGTTCCCTGGTCTCTCCGATCCCTGTTTCTCTGGACTCTTGGTTCCTGTTGTGTGTGGTTTGTTGGCCTGATCTCCCAGGTTTATTTTTGTTGTGTGTGCTTTTGTATGTGTTTTTTGTCTTGCTCCCTGGAGCTCCGCCCGGCCCCCCCTTCATCTACTGAATAAAGGTTTTTACCCTGGAGAAGAGGGTAGCTCTCAGCCGTGGACTCCCAGAGGTTTCCTTTCAGTTAAATTATTAACTGAAAATTATTAAATTTAAGGTTTTTCCTCTCCCCAGTGCGGTGCAGTCCATTTGTTTTTTGGGCATCAGGAGCCGCCCGTGAAGAGGAGAGGGGTACTGTCACGCCCTGTATAGCTAGAGGGCACTCCTACTCTGTCCTGTTCCTAGTTTCCCTGTGTTTTGCTTGTCCTTCTGGTGAGTCTTTGTTTGGGGCTATATATTTCAAGGTCACCCTTTCCTCCTTGCTCAGCATTCAGATGGTTCAGATGTCTTGAGGCCTATTTAGCACCAGGTCATCTTCTCCACGGCCTCAGGGCATAGGTTTCTACCCGACATCGTCTGAACATCTGAGCTCGGGCTAACCCCTGTTTTGCTGCTACGCATAGGC